CACCGCGTGGCAAGGACGCTGACGCAGGAGGCCACGCGGGATAGAGCCACATGGGCGATCCGCGTGCACGCGATCGAACGTTCCAGATCTCAAGTGTGCGGACGGCCCAGATCTCACGTGCACGGACGAGCCAGATCTCACGCGTGTGGACGGTTCAGATCGCATCGCGATGGACGGCTCAGATTTATTCCCATTTTAATCGCGATCGAACGGTCCAGATTAAATCGTGATGGACGGCTGAGATTAAAAAGGGGAAGGTTATAAATAACCTCACCCACACCCAACTCCAAACCCTAGCCGCCAGTACCCTCGCCGGAGAAGAAGAACCAATCACCAGAGGAGCCGGCCGCAGCACCAGAGAATTTTCTGACTGCCAAACGAGGTAAATTTTCTCCCATTGGCTCGTTTTTTTATGTTGAATCCGCCTATGGCCAAATCGGAGCCAAACTACCCGTCAATCGGCTAAAAAATACCGCCGAAGTCCAGCGACGTCGCCGCGGCTTCCCTCAATTTTTACCTCTGATGAGGCCTTTCTCGGTTCCCGTTCGATGCAATTTTTACACCACTGTGGTCACCGTCCTTTTCTCTACAGGTTGATCAGAGAAAAACATCAAATCACGACTCGCGCCGGAGAAGCCACCGCACTCGAGAGCTTCGCCGCCGGTAAGTCTCAGTTTTTCGTAAATTTTTGGCCCACCGAGGGCCCTAGGGTTGTTTTATCGTAGGAACCAATGCAACTTTGGCCGAATTCGGTCGAAAACGGCCAACCCGAGGTGAATCGCCACCGCAGGCGGCGGTGTCATCGCCGGAGTACGGCAGAGCCGCCGTGCCGGAATTCTGATATTGGTCGAAAGGGCCCTGGGTCTGATTTGGGGTTTTTTTTGCCACACGTGCAAGTACTGGAAGTGTGTTTCAGTTCCCAAGAAAAAAATTCAGGGAATCTAGGGACTGACCGTAGGCGCAGTATGAACCCGATTTCAGACGCTGAAACAAGTAAGGATTTCTCACCCTATTTTTCTATCACGGTATTTAAGTTCAATAAATGATAAAACAGTATTTTCGTGAATTAATGGATGTGTATAATTGCTTAAGGTTGCTAATGGAGTCCGAATCTGGTGTATTTGTCGGTCAGTTATTGTTTGATCTATTTTATAGTTTTAAATGCAGTATGGTATCTGATGTGTTTATTTTATGGTTTCGTATGCATGAATTATAGTTTTATTTATTATAGTTTGGATTATGGTGAACCCGGTGTTGTGTTGGTTGTTTGGTGTTCATTATTGGTTTACGTGTTTATGTTTGATTTGATAACTGAGACCAAAGAAAATGGAAAAAAGTTATGTGAATTGATAAATGGATAATGTGGACAGTCTGACTAGATATCCTGGGAGATGGTGGACGGACCGGGTCCGTAGAGAACCCTACCGGGAACGTGGTCTCTCATATCGGACGAGGTATGGAGACCTTATGTGTTTTTGGCGCTCATATCGGACGGGGTATGGGGACGGCTCGTTTCACCCTCATATCGGACTGGGTATTGAGGTTTATGTTTTGGCGCCCATACCGGACGGGGTATGGGGACGGCCCGTTTCACCCTCATACCGGACGGGGTATTGCGGTTTATGGTTTTTAGGCGCCCATATCGGACGGGGTATGAGGACGGCCCTGGAATTAAGTTATGAATGTTAATGGTTCACGTGTAGCGAGAACCCACTATGGATCTCCATGGATACTAGTAGACTGGTAAAAGAGAAAATTTGTTGTCTGATTATTGAAGTACAAAAGTATAACATGTGTTATGTTACAAAGTGTATATGATTTTATGATGGTTATAATGTTATTGTTTTCATATGTTATTTTCATGAATCTCACCGAGGTAACTGGACAGTAAAGGTTTTTATTATTAATAAATGAGTTTGTTATAAATTATGCTCCATTGGTCGTTTTTGTTTTCTACCAACCTTTACTTCCGTGGCAGTGAGATAGTGTGATGTCTTTACTGACTAGTGTAGCTCATTCCTTACTTAACCATTTCAGATTAGGAAGACGTGGTTCTCGAGCCTGTTCCGCAGGAAGACGGCGAGTTAGATCCCTAAAGATTTTATAGTTCTATTTATAGTTTTTATTTCGAGTATTTCCTTTAATTAGCTTATTCTTTCATGTGTTGAATACGTTTATGGTTATTGTGTAAGGGATGTAAATCAGAATTTTTATTTCGCTTCCGCACTTAAAACTTTTTAATACATACATTTCATATTTTTATTTCCGGGGCCGTTACAAGCCCAACCCGCGACTCTCACCGGCCTTTTCTCGCACAACTCGCGTGACCCACGTTTTAAATACTCATGTGTTAAAATTAATTTTCATATTTTTTTAATGAATTTTACATGGGATAAATATGAATTTAAATTAAGTATTATTTTAATTATAACTCTATCTCTTATGATTATTTAATTAATTTATTTGAGATAGAATAATTATTTTATTATGTATTTATCATATATTATGATAGAATTTTATCTATGATATTATTTTATTAATTATCTCAAAAATTTTGTAGTCATCTAGATTGCTTAGGAAAAACTATAAATAGACTTTTGCACTTAGAATGTAAAACACATATTTGAGAATAAATTTGAGAGAATTCTTGAGAGATTCGATTTTTCTTTCTTTTAACATTTTGCTAAAATTAACTTCTTCAAGTTCTTCAGGAAGCAGAAGTTTTCATAAGTCTTGTTGAGCTAAGGAGTGGGGATCAACTTATTAATAAGTTCTTGGTATTTTTTTCTTATTTTATTTTCCTAGTATTTGTTTTTATTTTTCTTTTAGGATTGTGAATTCAATTAGAGGGAAGAATTATTCTAGCGGCTATTGTTTCGGTATTACATATGTTGAGTGGGTTTTAAGAGTAGATTTGATTCTCCCTATACCCTCCCGCGTTAGGCAGTCTAGTTGCATGACTTCTGCTATTTCTTTTGACAACTCTTACTCTTATTTGCTTTCTCTTTAAATTTTTTTCCTTAGATCTTATATATCTTATCTTTTTGTAAAATTTTCAAGAATAATATGTTTCTTATAAAAGTGCACACTTAATGGGGAAATGAGTTATTGTACTAATAGTAACTAAGTCATCGCATATAATATTTTAAATACTTATTTATATGGGAGAGTGCGTATTCAAATTTATTTTTTAGTTTATTTAATAATCTCATTTATTTATATAAAAAGGGGTATTCAAACTTTTGCGTATATAATAATATTAAATATTATGATATTCAATAATAATGAAAATAATTATTGTAATTAACATGTGATTTTTTACCTATTTATATGGAAGAACATATATAAAAAATATTATCATTAGTATGTACATTACATACAATAATTTTTAATAGAAGATATTTTAAGTATATATTGTAAAGTTATTCGATATATTTGTTTATATGAATAATGTTTATTTAAATTTATGAACATTAGTAAATACACGATGTATTCGATTATAGGTTGATAATAGTTAAAATAAATCATTGCCATTAACAATATTCTAATTTATCTAACTTCTACTTATTTGCATAAAAAACATGTGTTTAAATATATTATTTTAAATTTATTTAATATTTTTATATATTTACATAGAAGAGCATGAATTCAAATTTATTATCACTAAAATAAATTAGATATGATAATATTAATTATAAGATATTTAATAATGACTAAAATAAATTATTGTAATTAATATTTTTTTTAATTTATGTTGTCCTTACGTATGTGAAAGAATGTGTATTTAAAATTATATTTTACTATTATTTATTTATCTAAAAATATCTATTTAAAATTATGACTGATAATAGATATTGTAAATGACAGTATTAAATTATATAATAATAATGCCTAAAATAATAATTACTATTAATAATCTTATAAGTTACGTGACTTTTACATAAGAGAATATATATTCAAAATGTATATTTGAAAATATGAAATTTAATTATAAAATAGGTTAAATATCATATATCATTACTTACAATTTGAATGCCTCAAAATACAAAAGATAATAAACTTTTTTTTTTTTTAATATGTTATTTATTGAAGATTATTTAAATCTATTCTCAATAAGATCATAAATGAATTATTAATTAGAATATCTTATATGCATTAGTTTTAATTCTTCTTAGTATCGTATATATTTTTTATGGTTGGTATTAATATTTTTATTTTTTAATTAATTTTTATGCCACAAAAAGATCTTATATGTACAATTTAATCTTTACCTAAATGTATACCAAAATTTTGAAGTGTAATTTTACATTACATCTTTTGAAACTTAACTCATTTTTGGAAATAATTATAGTAAAAATCTTAGAGTAATTGAAGAAATTATTTTTCGTATTAATAATGTCAGTAATTTTTTTTTTATATATAAAATTCGAATTGACACAATTATATATAAATATATATATATATATATTTTCATGAGATTAGGAATCTTAAAATTACGTATTCCATTATATAAAATATATCTTTTAGGCATGGAAGGGAATGAGAGGCGGGAGTAAATAGAGTTTTTGAGGAGGTTGATGATTTTTGACATTTTAAAAAATAGATGGTTATGAATTCTTAATTTTTTGTTATGTGCTTATCCTCTAATTATTATGAAGAATTTTGCGGTGATATGTTAATAAATTTATAAATGCTGTAAATGGGTGGCCCCGCCCCCCCTTGTTGTTTATGTGAATGCATATGCTCTTTTTTATTTCAGAAAAAAAAAAATATATATATATATATATATATAAAATATATCTATATAATGTATAACACAATACGTTGTCGCTACAAACACCGAGTAACATATATCTTGTGAGATTAATTTTATAGATTTAAAAAAAAAAAATTAAAATAAAATTTTAAATACATTTACAAACAAACTATAAATGGCCAAAGTGGAGTCAATAATTAGGAGAATTAATGTTGTGATTATTAATACATTATATGCCTGCAACTCGTTGTTGGCTTGTTGCTCCACTGTGGAAGAGTATAACAAGTGTAAACTGCACCCGAAATTTGGAACATGTACAATTTGGTTAGGGTTTAGTTTTAATGGCGAATCAGCTGTACGGCTACGAATCGGCCACGACTAAATCAGCAGCAGCAGCGGCGGCCAAGGCAAAGTCGACTCTCTCTTCTCTCTTCGGCACCACCAGGTCTCGCTCGGAGACATATTTATCTGATACGACTCTCCGATACCTGAGCGCCGGGTCGGATTCTCTTGTATCGGACCTTACCAGCAAGTACTCCTCTATAGGAACCTCCTCCACCATGTATCACCATCTAGCGCAAACGGCTTCGCTTTTGGCTTCTTCTCAGCAGCATCAGGCCACGTGGCCTCCAGGAGTCGATGTTCCTCCCGCTCCTGGCGTTGAACCCCTTCTGCCTCCCGGCGTCAAACGCTCTTCCGACGGTTAGGCTTCATTTCTCGTTTTCTTTTAGGTTTTTTTTTTTTTTTTTTTTTGGAATTTCTCCCTACCGGTTTCTATTTGCTTGCCGAGAACAAGGAAATGGGGATTGTCTCATTTAGTTATTTATGTTGATTATGTTATGCATAAAGTGCGAAATTTTGATTCAATATGTTCTTATACTTGCCCATCAAATGAATTCTTGAGTTAAGCTTATTTGATTGAGTTCTACTGTGTTACTACTCTTGATTAATGGATGCTAATGTCTATTTGTAGGATTGAATGTTCATACTATTGCATTATGGGGTTGATGATTTGAAGTTGGGCGTATAGCTCTTATTGCTTTTACTCAATCTTATGCGTTCAGTTGATGCATTACTGTTGTGCATTATTAAGCTCTTAATTGATCCATGGATGTTATTGCAAGAGTTTGCTTCATATTTTTTGCAAACTTGCCAATTGTTAAGTTTTTTGAATTTGGTAAAGGTAACATTTTTGCAATTTTGAGTGCAATAGTTGGTATCTCGAACTTATTCATGGAGGACAAGGAAGAAATATCTTGATATTTTGGAAAATTTCCCTCAAAATGTAATTGCCATCAAACAGGATTGTCCATAGCATTAATCATATATCTGTTCATGTTCATTAGTGAATTATCAGTATATAGACTCCGCCTCTTGTGCCCAACTTGGGCAACGGTACCAGTTGATGTTAGAGTGATGAAGAGTGTCTCCTTGATTTGGTACTACATTTTGTAGCAAGGTTTACATCTCTTCTACCAGTGCCTCTTAGGTTTACACAAATATTAAAGTGCATTTTCCTTTAATATATTTACTTATCTGTTTGTCTGGTGGCACTTCTCCCTAGGGCATGCTTACCAAGATAAGCTACTTCTTGTCTACAAGTTATTGCCCTGCTTGGTTCCTTGGTTGTGAAACAACTGATTGCGAAATGTTATGGGGTGGTGGCATGCTATCTTGTTTGGCTAATTTGCCCTGCTTTATTCTAGAACCTAGACTATCAGTACTACATAGGTCTCGCATCTTCAAGCGTTTGCCTTTGCATGTAGATGAGCTTCCCCTGTATAATAAAGAGCCTAGATTTTTTATTTGCAAGACATTGTTTACTATCAAATTATTTTCAAATACTAGTGTATATACTTTCTTATCTCTATTTATTTCTTTACAACAGTGTTATGGTATTTAGTCTTATGTATTGGTTTCTATTAAATATAAGTTCTTAGTCCAAAATTATTTTCAAGGCTATACTTATAAGAGTAACATATATTTTTCGTGTTTTCTTGTATAAACTTCTCCACTACATACTATAGTGCTGTACCATCCGACTCTTTTGGGCGCCCATGACACAATTGGGCAAAGTGAAGCTTGGTATACTACCACCTCTTTTGCCAAGCGGTATAGATTGGAGAGTACAAGCCATTTGCCTATATATCCACAGAGACCAGGAGAGAAAGATTGTGCCCACTATATGCAAACAAGAACCTGTAAATTTGGAGATAGCTGCAAGTTTGACCATCCTATTTGGGTTCCTGAGGGTGGAATCCCAGATTGGAAAGAGGTGACCGTTTATTGCTACTTTTAAGTACGATAGTTACACTTACAAATTAATATATGCTTTATATTTATGAGTAAATTGTTACAACCAATGAGCTATATGTTACCACTAAGTTTTCTGATTTATAATTGACTGCAGGGACAAATACTTTTAAGACCAAATCAGCTTACACATTAAGATTTACCTATGGTCTTGAAACATTTATTATCTAACTTTGTGCTTTCCACATGTATTATAACAAAAGCCTCTACGTTTTACATATGTATTTTCAGTGCACTTCCCATTTTGCACCTGATCAAATTACCGTTGGTAATGTTGGATGACCATGAGTTGAGAAGTACATTATGTGGGAATGGTCCAGGAACTAGGCTTTAGAAACCAGAAGAAATGTTCTTGGTGAACAGAATTCTTCAACGGAATCCATACAATTGACAGGCTCAATGATATACTAAAAAATGTTTTTAGACATTATAGATATGCTAATAAACATGTAAATTTCATTTTGTATATGGGTGGCACCCCCTTGGCGCTGACATTAATACATTTTTCCACACTTTTATTTAAAAAAAATGCTTTTATTTCTTTTTTTTTTTGGGTCTATTCTTTTGAATTCTGCGTTCAGTGTTAAGGTTTAGTACGATTCTTTCAATGTGTTCAGGTAGCAACAAAGTACTTTTGACTTTTTTGTTCTTTATACTTCATGGCTGTTGATAACTTGGCATGCATTGATTCCATTGTTGGCTTTTTCATTTGGAAAATTATATAATTAGGTTCGAACATGTAGATAAATTTCCTTATTGAATATTCTGTTTCTTGAGAGTTGGAAAAAATCAAGAAGGTTTGATATTAAATGCTTTTGGGTGCATGTATTGTCAGAAAAAGTATTCTATTGCAGGGACAGACAGACTTCGACCCCCCTTGGCTTAGTAAATTTCAATTGTTCTTTGGTCCAGATACTTAGGATCACATTTGAATAGTGGTGCTATTTGCATAGAATATTGTTCATGGTAGGGGTGGTAAACACTAAGTAGTTTTGGAGCCTATTTAACCAAACTGGTGCTTGTGCTGTGGACAGATAGAACCAGTGAGAGAATAGCTTTTAATAAAAATGCTTTTGATGTAAAAGCCGTATAACATTTGGTGGAAATTGGTTTGTTATTGTTTAAGACTCATGATGCAAAATGAGTAACAAATTTTGAAACGATAAAAAAGATTACAAGAATAAAAGATAGCTATTATAAATGACTTATTTGTTATTGTGAAGCATTTTTTTAAAACCTCTCTTATATCTTTAATTATTTAAAACATCTTAATTTAGTTTCTAAACATTTTATTTTATTTAAATATCTATTTTCATTCTTCAAATTTTTTATTTTTAAATTTAAAAGTATTTAAATAGTTAGGATGAATATTAAATTATTAACAGTAAACTACTATTATACATTTTTTAAAAAATAATAATAATAATATCGATGAAATAAAAAACTAATAAATTTATTGATTTTGCAACAATATATATAAGTATTTTGTTTAAGCAAAAATCGTATCTAAAAGTGCCTATTTTAGCATTTGCTTCACTTTATTGAAAGCCACTAGTTGTTGCTTTTTAAATTCAGATTGCTTTCTTTTGTTTGGTTAAGCTTCTGCTTTTCTTTTTGCAGCAGAAGCACAAATTATAAGTGTGGCCAAACAAGCTCACTTTTTCCACATAGCTTCAAGGTTTTTATGCATCCAAGTAACAACTGTATGTGAACTTAAGGGCTGGTTTCTATTTGTAGCTGTTAGAGGATAAGAATTTCCTATATAATCCTATGAAGAATAATAGGGTATTTTCTTTATAGTCTTTTCCAGTATAGTCAATGTCCTATATAGGCAGGTTATACTATAGTCAATGTCCTACTTCGATTCTAATTGGAGTCTTCTTTCTTATTCATAGGCATCTCTAAAAATACGTGCCCTATTTCTTTAACATAATAACAAGAATAATGTTTCAGTGTATTCTTTAGCATGGTGTCAGAGCAGCAGGTTCTAGGATCTAATAAGTTCCTCTTATCTTTGTTCTTCTGTTTTTGTAACACTACTTTTCATGTCTATTCGGACAATTGAAAAAAACAACAACTAGAACTTCCTCTCTCCACTGGAAAAATTTACTTCTCTTTTGTCTCCCTTTATTTCTCTTCAGTTATAAGAAGAATCTCTTGGCCGTAATTCTCTGTTTCTTTTATTTGAGCTCTTCCTTAGAAGAAAATCCTTTATTATCTTAGTTGTTTTTTGAACCCCCTTTATCCTTTAAGTTGTTAAAAAAATCATAGAATGGTTGAAACATTTGTTCAAAATCTAAGAGACACATCTTTAGATGTCTTATTCTGGCACTTCCACTCTAGATTCAAGTTGTTGGGATTGAGCAACCTATTTGCCAAATTCCTGGCCACAAAAAGTGTTTCACTTGCTGTTGGCCATTGGAGCATGGCTCTCATGCTCCTCCAGTTTGTATTTTTCAGTTCATGAATTTGACATGGTTTGAGTTGGTGATTGGTTCTCTTTTGGAGTTTTGTGGCGTGGGTACAGTAATAATCCTTTGTTTGAGCAAACTTTGAGATCATCTTGTTGATGCTATGGTAATTCTACCTTACTGGGTTTGAGGAGATTAGGAGAAAGTCTCTATGTTAAGAAGCTGTTCTGGATTTATGATCGGTTTCCCTTACTAATAAAGTAGTCGCAAGGGCATATGATTGCTAGAAAGCAGTATTGTGAAAGTCACGTGTCCTAAACATCCTTTTGGTAGTTATTGATTGTATTCTAGTTGGTCTACAACTTATTTTGTTCACATGTCCAAGGTGGATGGTAACTTCATGTTCAACCCTATTAATGTTACTTTTTTGATAGAGGTTGCAAAAGTTTCTGTTTGCAATTGCTTCACCTTTATTCCAAGTCCTGAAAAGAGGAAAATTTATGAACTAATACTGCTGTTGCTCAATGGGAGCAGACACTTGTTGCCTTGATGTAGTTTCTCGATAACTTTTGAAGTTGGTGACAAGTTGTTGCGGAATTTTATGGTTGTTGTTTATATAAGGTTTACAGTTGTAAATGTACATGCTGTTTTGAGCTTGTTTAGAACTTTTGTTTTGTAGAAGTTACAAATCTTGTTTGAAGCAGTTTGTGGAATTCGTCAATCTTGGCAATTTCTGGAAGTCACTGGCTACAATTTTTCTATTCAGTTTTATTTACTTGTAGTTTATTTTTAACAAGCTTAAGCTGATGTAAACTTCATCTAGAAAGGAGGTGTTAGGGAATAAGAATATTTCCAACATAGCTTTTTAGAGAATAATAGGGTATTTTTGGTATAATCTTTTCCTACATAGTTAATATCCGATATAGGTAGGTTTTGATATAGTCAATGCCCTATTTAGAGGTGCTTTGTTCACCCTATTTTATAGGAGACTATAAGGTAAGATGTTTTGTTTTCTTTTAAATTAAGCTCTTAAAGTATTTGGATACCACAAGCTTATAAACTGTATTCAGTAATCATACGTTTGGTGAAAATATAACTTATAAAGTGTCAGTTGTATCAAAATGACAAAAAAGACGATTACGATATTCTTGTGATTGTATTTTTTATTGATTCTTTTGTATAATATACCTAATTATCCTCGGGTTTGCTTTGTTTGTGAGTCATGTTTCATTGACATCTTAAATTGGTAAGCTTTATTTTGAATATTGGCATTGCTGGTGTCTAGCCTGCTGTAGGGTAAGTTCTAAATAGTTGTCCTTTTATATAGAGAGGTGGCCGTATGTTGTTTACACTCTTCATTCCATTTGTTATTAAGACAGCATATTGACATCCTTTCAAATGTAGGTTCCCCTTCCTTCTGGCAGTGAGTTACCTGAGAGACCAGGGCAACCGGATTGTCCCGTAAGCGGTTCTTGGCGCTCTTATAGGTTTTCTAATATCTGTTTGAGCACTTGGATTTTATTATCTCATCCCCATTGAACTTGATGCAGTATTTTATGAAGACGCAAAGATGCAAGTTTGGTTTCAAGTGCAGATTTAATCATCCAAGAGATAAATTGGAAACGGTGGTAGGTTCCACTTGCATGAGATTTGGCACATCTGCTTTTTTTCCTATGTTTGTTTCTGTTTCCTTCTTGATTTTAATACTACACTTTCTTATTATGGTTCAGGGTGCTACTGAAAATCCTGGTGCATTGCCAGAAAGGCCCTTTGAGCCCCAATGTGCTGTAAGATACTTATGTTTTTTCTACACTGGAAATGCTACCATCTAATTATTTCTCTTTCCTTTGTGAATGGTATCATCTGGCTTCTCCTCTCAGATTGCTACTGTCTAGTTATGTTAATTTGTTCATCCTTGTTATAATTCTTAAAACAGTTTTACATGAAGACTGGACAATGTAAATTTGGCCCAACGTGCAAATTCCATCACCCAAAAGATATCCAAATACTGGCAGCTGGGCAAGAGAATGGGAATGGTGAGCAGACTGGGTCAGCATTCAAGAGCGAGGGAGCTAATGCAGTCACATTCTCTCCAGCACTGTATCAGAACACCAAAGGACTTCCTATAAGACCGGCATGTTCCTTCATTATTACGTTATCAGTAGTAGTTGCTGATTTTTTTTTTTTTCTGGTTTTCTTGCATCATTTATATTTGACATGCAGTTGAACTTCTTAATTTTCATGTTGTTATCAATTTCTTACAGTTACAGATTCTGTCTTATGGTATCCCCCACGCCTTATTCCTTTTCCCATTGTGTGTTATTTGTTTATTGGTTAGTAATTATATGGAGTTGCTGTTGTTTTGGTTATACCATCACTGTTTTTTTACAAGCAGTTTGACTGGATCTCTATGATATATATATATATATATTATTGATATGATAAATTGGAAAATAATGAGATCAGATTAGTTGAAATTTTCAATTGGGTGAAATGTTGTTGGCTGAATTGTTAGTCAGCTCCTTTGTTTATTCAGATTATGTGCATCTGTTGATCATATGAATTTTGCTTCTTGCAGGGTGAGGTGGATTGTCCATTCTATCTGAAAACTGGAAGGTGTATACTTTTCTTTTCATGCTATTTTTTTTAAATTGAAGAAAATAATAAACTTTTTTTTTTCTCAAACAAAAATACTTACATTTTCCTTTTTTTTTTTTAAATATATATTAGTTGCAAGTATGGTGCTACTTGCCGCTACAATCATCCGGACAGAAATGGTAGGCATACAACTTTAGTGTTGGAATCCAACTTTTGAAGCTTAAATGTCCTGAATTTCTTTCTTTGAATATCATTAATGTGCGTCAGAATTACAATTTTCTGGTTTCCTGCAGCATTCATTCCTCCAGCTGCAATAGGTGCCATGGTAGCATCATCAGCTACTAATCTGAATATTGGAGTTGTCAGTCCAGCTACCTCTATATATCAGACTATTGACCCCAGATTGGCCCAGCCAATGGTAGGTTGGAGATTATTTGTGCCTTTTCTCTTTGGTTCGTGTTTGTTCAATAAAAAGAGTTGTGACTTAATTTATTCAAGTCATTGTTTTCTAAAAATATTCGATTCATTTTCTTCCTCCAACTTTCAAGTCTGAGCATGGATGGGTTTGTGTAAATTTAGGTGCTCATGTATGTGGACAAATGGAGGGGTTCTCATGTTGTTTTTTCTTTTCATTGGATTGGTGGGTTTACGTCTGTAGCTATGAAATTCTGTAATCATTATTAGAAATATTGTGACTTCATTAGAAAGAAGATATACATAGCTATCAATAGGAATCTTTATGTGAAGAAAAGAAAAAACTATGAATAGGAAATTAACCTTTATAAGAATATTCCTTGGCGAGGTTTTCTCCTCTAGAGCCACTAAGTGCTGATCTTTTTCTTCTTCATCTCTATGATGGGCTATCCCTTGGCTCCTGACTTATGTTAGTTGGTAGGAGCAAATTCTTGTTGACCTCTCATGTTGGGTTCTCCTAGAAGGAGATTGCTGACCACAAAAAAGAAATCATATCACATCATGTTGGTTGGAAGGGAACTCGACAATGTCACTCAAAGTGAGAACAGAAAGGGCTTCAGATCGACCATTGTGTTTTTGGAGAGGAAGTTGAGTGACTTACTAAAACTCTAGACCAGTTCTTCTGGGAGAAGGATAAAGGATCATGGGTGAGAAGCATGGTTGGAAGGAACCACATTCTCGAGTGGCGTTAGGTGTGAATGGGAAGGCTGATTTTCAGCTATAATGGAGATAGCAAGGGAGAGATGAAAAAGGATCTGCATACCCGAGGATATGGAGGTGACTTGGTGTTTGATGACAGAGGCAGTATGTGGGATTGTTGGAGGTGTCTTCAGATCACCTTGGAGCCCTAGGGCAGAGGTAAGGAGAGGACTTGGAGATGAAGTAGGTTGTCTCAAATTGGCATCACAGGGGATAGTGGCGAGATCCTACACAGATGCGGTAAAGTCGACAGAGAAGCAGGTGGAGAAGAAAGAACCCAAATCAAGATTGTCTCAGGTCAATTTCAAATTTCGAATTCCAAACCCATAGAGGACAAAAATCTGTCAAGGCCAAAACTAGGTTTCTCGGTTAAAAGGCCCTCTATGCCTTTTTGGAAAAGCTCAAATCCAACCTCAAACAGAGCCTCTGTTGCTAAAAGAAGGAAGTGAGTCACTCAGTTAAAACCCAGGACCTGGTGGGATGGAGAAAAATCTCATTCCATGATCGGGGGGCGCTCGAGCAAACAATCAAGGGGTGGGACGATAATCGATCAGGTGAAGGAGGGAGGAGTTATTTAGTGTAGCACCAGTTTTAACAAAGAGGGGGGAGAGGGGGAAGTGGGGGGAATGTAGTTTGGCGATGACAAAAATTTTGGGAGAAAAACTGACTCTATCTTTTGACCATGCTAGACATTGTGACTGGTTTTGGGGGATTTTAGGGTGGGTTTGTTGCTATCGAGCAGTGAAGGATGGGGGAATGAGGAGATACTGCCCATAGCAATTGTGAATTTTCAAGAAAAAGGAGATAGAGGATTGGAAAAGTGCAAATCAGATGGCGATGTGTAGGGTAGAGAAGGAGGAGGTGATCAGGTGTTAATTGTCAGGATGAGTCTTGAACAACATCCAAAGAATAAGCAAGATGCTGGTCAGGAGTTCTAAACGCTATGGAGATCAAATTTTGAACTGTTTAGAGCCATTGAGGGAAGAAGAAGGGAGCAAAACAACAACAGGACAAATAAAATCATTATTGAAGAAAATGACATGGATAAGGAATTGACGACACTCCACATAGCTATTAATTATGGTAAGAACTTCAAATTGGAGAATGGAAGAAAAGGGGGGGAGAACTATTAATTTATCATGTTACGTAAAATTATTTATTGGAACATAAGGGGTTCGAATGATGCAAAGAATCAGGCAACAATCGGAAATGTTTATCTATGTGAAACCAGATGTGGTATATATTCGAGAAGCTAAAACGGAGTCATTCTATGACAGGAATGTCAAGATCTAAACTAATTGATACTCTCATAGATCCCAATCTCAAATTGGTTGTAGATTAGGAAAAACTATTGGATAAATGCTTGTTGGTGGAAGAACATGATGAAATCTCTCCTGGAGTTTCTGACATTCTGTTATGTTTTTCTTTTATATGCCCTGCCTCTGATGGAGAAATATTATTACTTTTGTATATATTAGAAGGAACCCACATGTTTCCTCAAAAAAAAAAACCCTGTTAAATGTGCTTCTATGAACACAGTTTAAAAACTTTGCTTTTTTATAACAAATTTATAACATAATAAAGAACCCTGTTCATAGATGCACTTTATAACAAATTTATGAGTTTTTTTAAATATTAAGTTTATTAGTTGTTTTACACCATTCTGCTTTTTTTTGTTAAAGAAAAGAAATCTCTCTGTATTATGCTAAATCATTTTTATTCAGTTACAGAGAATTATGACCTTTTATTTTTATGCTGAAGAGGTTTTCTGAGGTTGTATCTGTCCTCCAGCTCCTTTTTAAATTTGGATGACTAAGCTTGGGTTCTGCATATAGTACTATATGTTTTCTTAGTGCTTTGATACTGTTAAATGTGCTTGTCAATTAAGTCACTATTGCTTAGCTGGTTGTTTATTTGCCTTTTGCAGTTGGGAGTGGCTCCGGCTATTTATCCTCAACGACCTGGACAGGCGGAATGTGATGTGCGCATCTACAGTAACACATTCTATTATTAATGTTATCATTTTTATTTTCCTTTATTGTTGCTGCTATTATAATCATTGTTGTTATCAAAACAATTTTAACTAGAAGTTTTTCCTTTGCTTGTCTAGACACATTTACCCATAAATCATCCTCACCCCATCTGATAACTTGTGTTTATATCATAGTACTATATGAAGACTGGGGAGTGCAAGTTTGGAGAAAGATGCAAGTTTGATCACCCCATTGATCGAACACTCTCACTGAGTAAGCAAGCTTGTCAGCTCAGTATTAAGCTCACTCTCGCAGGATTACCGAGGAGAGAGGTATGAATTTTATCAAGCCTTGTGATTCCAAGAAATTGAGTGCTCTCGTTGCTTAGTGATAGGACACAGACAAGTTATGGTAAAATGAATATTGAGTTTTCTGCTTTTCATATCGGAGGCTTTGAGGTTTTCCCTTTAGTTAGCTGTCTTTTGTTTTATTTTTTTCATTGTTTTCTTGGGTAATACTTGAGTGCGTTGTGGTTTCCTTTTAAGAAAGTTATATCCTTCATGTTTTTTTCTTACACTTTCGACAAGCACCAAATCATATAAGAGTTAAATACTAGAATGACAAAATATCATATGTATTAGAAGTTTGAGTCCAGAATGATGCAATAGAGGCTAGGGTTATTATATTGACCGTCTCTAGTATGTTTAGAATGATGCATTCTGAAGGTAAACCTAAAAAAATGAAGGGAAAAAAACCTTCTTCTTCCTTGATTATTCAAGCACAATAATGTGCTTATTTATAGAGAATTCTGTAATAGAATTCTGGGAAAAAAGATGCCTACAGCAAAAGTGGTGGCACGTCCCACTAGCTGCAATTCTAACAAAAAAGGGAATATTTTTAGAAAAAATATTTGCCAATTACAGACTGTAAACAGCAAATTAACTTCCTACAAATTATAGACTATAAATAGTAAATTAATTTCCTACTAAATTTACTTCCTACACTCTCCCTTAATCTAGTTTACATATATGTTAAGTAAACCTAGATTGGATATGATGTTCTCAAATATTGGTCTCGGTAGCATTTTTATGAGGATATTAGCAACTTGTTGATTTGTTGGAATGTGTATAAGGACTATGGTTCCATCTTCTATCTTCTCTTTGATGAAATGTCTATTAATCTCCAAATGTTTGGTCCTATCATGATGAACTGGGTTCTTGACCATGTTAATAATTGATTGATTGTCACACCAAATTTTCATAGTAGTGTCAGTAGGTATTTTTAGTTATTGGAGCACACATCTTATCCATATTCCTTCACATATTCCGTGGGTGAGAGCATGAAATTCTAATTCTGTACTACTGCGAGAGACAACTGATTGTTTCTTGTTATGCCAAGTGACCAAGTTTCCTCGAACATATGTACAATAGCCAGATGTAGACCTTTTATCTGTTTTTGAACCTGTCCAATCAACATTTGTAAAGACTTCAACTTCTTTAGTTACTTTCTTCTGGAAGAATAAGCCCTGTCCTGGTGTCTTTTTGAGGTATCTCAGAATTCTGTACACTGCTCTCATGTGTATCTCAGTCGGTTGGTTTATAAATTGGCTCACTATACTAACTGCAAAGCTGATGTCTGGTCTTGTGTGTACTAGATATATGAGTTTCCCAACCAATTTTTGGTACCTCTCTCTATCAACAAGTATGTCACAATCTTCATAATCAAGTTTTATAGTAGAATACATAGGTGTGTCAGCTGGCTTACAACCAAGCATCCCTGTTTTCTTTAGAAAATCAAGTACATATTTCCGTTGTGGTATAGAGATTCCTTTCTTTGATCGTGCAACTTTCATACCTAGGAAGTATTTGAGTTCTTCAAGGTCTTTAATTTCAAATTCTTTTGCCAGATATTCTTTCAGTCTTTAGATCTCCTCACAGTGATCTCCTGTAATAATGATGTCATCAACATATACAATCAAAATTGACTTTTTACTTGAATCACCATGCTTGATGAAAGAGTGTGGTCAGACTGACACTGCTCATACCTAACTTGCTTTACTACTCTTGTGAACCTCTCGAACCATGTTCTTGGTGATTGTTTGAGTCCATAGAGTGATTTCTTAAGTCTATAAACTTTATGAGGGCTCTTAGATATTTCAAATCTTGGCGGAATATCCATATAAACCTCTTCTTCCAAATCACCATTAAAAAATGCATTCTTCACATCTAGTTGAAACAAGGGTCAGTCAAGATTTGATGCAAGAGAAAACAGTATCCGTATCGTATTATGTTTGGCAACAGGGGTAGAAGTCTTTTGATAATCAATCCCATATAACTGTGTGAATCTTTTTGCAATAAGGCGAGCTTTGTATCTGTTTATACTACCATCAGGATTATATTTGGTTGTAAAAATCCATTTACATCCTACCTGGTGTTTTCCTGGGGGCAGTTCAGTCAGCTCTTATGTCTCATTCTTCTCAAGAGCTCTCATCTCTTCTTGAATAACTGCTCTCCATTTTGGTATTTGAAGGGCTTCATGAACAGTTTTCGATTTTGGAGAGATTTTATCTAGTTTACTCACAAATGCGTATATTCTTAAGACAAATTGTCAAATGACACATAATCTTGTATAAGATGATTAGTGCAAGATCTGGTACATTTTCTCAATACAATAGGCAGATCATTATCAGTAATAGGGTTTGAAGCATTATTACCTAGTGAAGGCTGGACAGTTGGAAACAAGGTTGAGTCATGACAGAGTTTGGTCTCTTCTGGTACTTTCCCTTTCTGAGCCTTGTTCCTCTTAGTGTAGACACATAACTCATTTACTACAGGAAATGTGTTTCTAATTCCTACCATAGATTCTGATTCAGGCTCATTTAGTGTGGACTGGAATAAGTGAAGATATGATGACATCCCAAAGGTGATATTCCTGAGTAACTTTCTCTCCCTGAATATCACTTTAGGTATAAAATGGTTGATTTTCGTAAAAGGTTACATCCATGGTGTTGCAAATCGACGAGTATCCAGAAAAAAACATTTGTATCCCTTTTGATTGAAGGAATACCCAACAAAAATACACTTGAGAGCTTTAGGATCAAGTTTGCCCCGTAAATGAGAATGAATATGAACATAGGTAAAGCACCCAAAGACTTTAAGTGGTAAAGAATTTAGAATGTGAGAGTCTGGAAAAGATTGTGAAAGAAGCTGATAGGGTGTTTAAAATTTTAGTATACGGGAATACATTATGTTTATTAAATAGGTGGCAGTAAGTAAGGCTTTCCCCCAAAACTGTTTTGGAACATGTGAGATGAACATAATAGATCGGGCAACTTCAAGGATGTGCCTGTTTTTCCTCTTGGTTACGCCGTTTTGTCGAGGAGTATAGGCACAAAAACTTTGGTGAAGTATCCCATTTTCTACAAAGTAATTTTTAAGGGTTGACTCAAAATACTCACATGCATTATCGAATCTCAATACTTGTATGGTAGTACTGAACTGGGTTTTGATCATGGTACTGAATTTTTTAAAAATTGCACCTACTTTTGGTTTTTTTTTTTCATAAAGAACACCCAAGTGATTCTAGTATGGTCATCAATAAATGATACAAGCCACTTACTTCCGGATATGTTAGTAATTATGGAAGGACCCTAGACATCACTATGAATTAATAAAAAGGGTTTTGAGGATTTATATTTTAGATCAGGAAATGAACTTCGAATATGTTTAGAGAACTGACAAATTTCGCATTGAAATGAAAGTGGATTTTTATTCGTGAACAATGAAGGAAACATCCTTTTTAAATATAAGAAATTTGGATGTTTTAGACGAAAATGTCATAACATAATTTCATTATCACTACTAGGGCTACTTACAGAAACTGAATTAGCACATACTACTTTTTGAGTTTGTCCACTAAAGAGGGCAGCTTGAAGTAGGTAGAGACAAGATTTCATCATAGCACTGCCAATTGTTTTTCCCGAGTCCAAGTCCTAAAATTCACACAACGTTGAACCTAATTTAGCAACACAGTTAAGTTTCCTATATAGCTTACTGATAGCAAGTTACAGTCCAAATTAGGTACAAAGAGAACAGAATATAGAGTCATATCTGGTGATATAATAACAGATCCGATTCCAAACACTTTCAAGATAGACCCATCAACAATTTTAATTGTAAAACACTAAGTGCACTGTCTATAATCTTAAAATAAGGAAGCATTACCAGTCATATGATCGAATGTCCCGGATTTAGGTCTGTCCACTTATTGAACAAACTGTAAAACTGAGACTATGAAAATTCTTATCTTTATGAGCAACAATCACATTAGTAGAACTCCTAGAGAATAATTTCTGGAGCATCTCAAGCTGCTTAGGAGTAAAAAGACACTTTTCCGCTGCTGTTGAGGGAGCTTCTTCACCGGCTGCCGTCCACCAAATTTCCCTGAAGCTCGGTCGCATTTTCTAGTCTTGAAGGCTTTCGGTCAGTCGGCTTTCCATGGAGTTTCCAGCACCGGTCGCACCCATGGCTGGGCTTCTTACAATAATCACAGAAGGGCCGACCTTTCTTGCCTCGACTGTCCAGACGCGTCGTGAGGGCAGATGTGTTCTCAGCTACAGTCGTCGCAGTTTATCCTTCTCCCCTCATGACTTTCTTCCGACTCCTCTCGCCGGACCTCAAAAAAACTTCACGAATATTGGGCAGCGGCTTCAAGCCCAATATTCGGCCGCGCACGTCATCGAGATAAGAGTTCAAACCCAACAAGAACTTGAAAATCCGCTTGTGTTCTGTAATTACTTGTTAAGGCTTTTGCATCGTCCGCACAACTCCATTGATGCTCCTCAAACATATCAAGTTGCTGTCAACTATGAGTTAGGATGTTATAGTATTGAGTCACAATATACTCACATTGTCGGAGCTTATGGAGGGCAGACTCAATCTAAAAAATGGTTAAAGTATTGTTCTTTGTTGAGCAGAACTCTCTTGCAGACACCCAGATTTCGTGAGCTGTTTCGTAAAGGAGAAAATTTTCTCTCAATTTCCAGCAACATAGAATTTACCTGCCACGACATCACAAGGTTATTCTCCATCTTCCATGTTCGCGCATTGGGGTCGGTTGCCGGGAGCGGCTTTGCTTCACTGGTGAGAAACTCCTCACGGCTTTTGGCCCAGATGAAAAGCAACACTAAAGATGACCATTGCAAATAATTGTTGCCGTTTAGTTTGTGGCCTGGAATCAGAGATGAAGACTGCTCAACCACGCCTTGGTTGAGTGATGAAGGGAAGAAAGGCCCCGAAGAGACCTCGGGTGGAGAAGACGACGTTTCACCGGAAGCCATTTGCGATTTTGGCTAACCCAAAACAATGGGCAAGGATTAGAATGGTTGCTCTGATACCATGAAGGTAAACCTAAAAAAATGAAGGGAAAAAAACTTTCTTCTTCCTTGATTATTCAAGCACAATAATGTGTTTATTTATAGAGATTTCTGTAACAGAATTCTGAGAAAAATGATGCCTACAGCAGAAGTGGTGGCACGCCTCACTACCTGTAATTCTAACAAAAAAAGGAATATTCTTAGAAAAAATCTTTCTCAATTAGAGACTGTAAACAGTAAATTAACTTCCTACAAATTACAGACTCTAAATAGTAAATTAATTTCCTACTAAATTAACTTTCTGCACATTCAATAATTTGTCAATTGTTTTTATAGTATAGGGTAAATTACGCAGAAGTCCTTAAAATTTGAGTATAATTATAATTGAGTCCACAGTTTTTTGAAAAAGAATAACTTAGTTCTTTTATTCTTTTGGTATGCACATATTTTGAGAAAAATCACATAACAAATGCATTTAGTTCAAGTCTGTTATATTCTTTTCTTAATTTCTAGATTTTAATCATATTAGCCGAAATCATAATTTTTTTTTCGATCTCTAAATTGTTTGTCATGCTGTTAATTTTCTTATCATTTAATTACATGACTGTCACATGATAGATATTAAATTATCATTCAAGGATTATTAAGAGGTCGAACTTAATAAATATATTTGTATGTACATTACCAATTTAGTCCCTAAGTTTCGACTCATTTTTTTATTTAATCTTAAATATTTTTTCTGTTAGAAAATAGTTCATGGACTTTCTGATTTTTTTCAAGGCATGAACTTCGTCCAATTTTTAACACCAAAAACAAAAGTGCACTACACTAAGTGTTGATTGGTTAAAAAAACTAAAAGAAATGAGAAAAGGAAAAATCTTTGAAATTAGGGCAAGGAACGTGTCCTTCTTCTCCGTATTTGGTTTCATTTTCCTCCCCACATTTTCTCACCAACTAAACAACGAAAATCAGGTTAGTGCAAAATTTCATGAAGCAGAAAAGTTCCAGTCTCATCTCTCGGAAACAGGTTTCTTCAAGTCTCTCTCTCTTTCTCTCACTCTTTTCTTTCCCTATCGGCCATCTATATCTTTTGTATCTGACTTAGGCGGATCCTAATCCAGAAAAAAAACTCTCTGATAACAGCCCAAATGCGGAGAAGAATGAAAGAGTAGAAAAGCATTTTGATGAGTGTGAGAGATGAGATGTAGACTTGCTCTGGAGAATCGAGGGTGGAGGAGTCTTGTGATGGATGGTCAAAGGCTCTTCTGGCTCCAGCATGTCGTTTGCAAACTCTCCATACTTGACATTATAGCTCTGACTTTTCCTTTTCTTTTCCCCCTGTTCTCGCTAGCAAACATCATCTGCCAATTACTGGAATCACCTCTTGCTATTAACTAACTAGGACTTGAAGCTTTTGAATGGGTGATTTGAGGACTTTTATTTCTCTCTTCACGCTTTCTAACACCCAAATATAAGAAATATTAGAGACATAAAAGTAAAATTGAAATGGGTTTGGATTATTTTTGAACGGTGATTTTAGAAGGAGAAGAATCATTCTAAAATAGATTTGAGGAAGAAGAATGACTCTAAAGCAGAGAAATTAATAATTTTACTCCAAATAAATTAGAAAAAGGGTTTTGGTTATTTTGAATGGCTGATTTGAAGAACGTCCAGGCGAGTTTAATGAGGGAGAAAGGAGGGATATTTCTTTGGGTGAGTTTTGATAATCTGATGAGTTTCTTGATCAGACCGAGATCATTAGGTTTCTTTTTTTTTTATTCCATTTTTAGAAAATGATGGAGGAGGAAAGAGAGAACCGAACAACACTCAACCATTTTTTTTTGGTTTTTTTGTCTTTGGTTGATGGTGTTAATTTTTTGAAAAAATTGGAAAGCTGTGAAATTATTTTGAAAGGAAGATATTTAAGACTAAATTATAAAGTTTAGGGATTAAATTGGTAATTTGTCTTATATTTTTATACAATGATTAAATTATTATTTTCAAAAACTGCAGACCTAGTTGTAGTTATTCATAATTTTTTAGAGACTTCAATATAATTTATCTTATAATATATTTTCACTTCTCGTCCTCTCAAATCTTTATTTCACTGAAAAGTAATTATTTCCTGTCTAAAGTTAAAAATTGCAATTTAGGAACCTTTGGCTCTTTGCTTTTTCAATCTTCATTCATAATTTGTGTGGGGTGTGGGGGGTATGTTGGTATTTTGATCATATTAGTAGTTAATTGATGTTATTTGATTTTAGTGCTTTGTTTGTAATCTTTGAACCACATTGTACTTGGCTGTCAAAAAACATACAACAGGGAGATGCTTTGTTATTTGGTAAACACCAGGGTATATAAGGTTGTGAAAGTTAGAAATATTTCTAAAAGATTTCTTCAAAACAATAAGAGTGTGGCGATAGCTTATTTCTTTTTAGTGATGTAAGAACTTATTTGGTTATTTGAAAGAAAACTCAGTTATATATAATGTTTGATGTAGGTTAAATTAGGGTTAATTTACTTAGGAACTTGTAGATAAAAAATTAGGTATCTTAGAGTTTCTTGGACATAAGATCTAAGAAGTCGCTTGAAGTTTAATTGCATCATACAACCTGAAAAATTTCTCTAAGTATTTATTTTGAATAATTGAATTAAAGTGACTCAAAAAGTGGATTACAAGAATATTTATAATGCTTGATAAATAATCTTTCTTAAATAAGATTAAATTAAAAAAATAATTTTGATAAGAACAGGAAAACTAAGTACTGAAAAGAGTAAAATCTTAAAGTAACTAAATTATAATAATAAACTTCTAGATTGTGTAATTTTTTTGTTTTAGAAAATGATATTTGTAATCTATTTAAGAAATTTAAGCTTAATCCATTGGTTTTGTTGCAATACACGTGAACATTCTATAGATTTTGTTTTCTAAATTTATATATGCTTAGAGGGAAAGATCTGAGGTTGTTGAAAATAAAAATAACGTTAAAAAGATAATTTCAAAAATGCAGGATGAATTTAGAATAAACAATTAAACTTTATTTAATGCATGAAAGCATTTATATTTTTTTCAATTTCTTAAATTCATAGATAATTATAGTTGTGAAAACTGCATTGTATTGTCTTTATGGTGTGATAACGCTAAATATTAAAAGTTTTTGTAGAAAGTACTTACAGTAATCCTTTTTTGCTTTCATCTTCTCTTTTACTTATTATTTTTGAAATATTGGTTTATTTGTTAATCACCCTTATATGCTTTTATGCTCGAAAATATGAATTTAAAAAATAAAAACTATAACATAATTTAACATGAATCGAATGAAGTTTGATTCTTTTCCAATATTCTCTATTCTTCCAGGAACTTGTTTTTCCCAACTATTTTGCCTGTGCACTGTAGGCATAGGATGAGTACTAATTTGTTGTGGCATATACTTGACAGGGCGCTGTTCATTGTCCGTATTATATGAAGACTGGAACGTGCAAGTACGGTTCAACATGCAAATTTGACCACCCCCCTCCAGGTGAAGCAATGGCTATTGCATCATCACATTGTGGCGAAGAAGCAAATGATGGCGGGAAAGAGATTGAAGGTGTTCAAAATCAGTAGCTATGAAGACAAAGCCTCTGTAAGGGTGATTATTTTCTTGGTTACTTGATTATGTGTTTGTGAAATTTACTCTTCTAACAGAAATGTCTCAGCATCTATATTTAGCAAATGTGAGGTTTCTGCAAATCATCTTGCCCTATTGTTGTTATTGATTGTCTTTGATTTGCTTGCTTTACTGTTTGGTAAATTTTAGATTTCTCCTTAGAATTTTGCTCCCTACTTTTGAAAAACATAAAACATTTTATTTTGCAAAATGTCTTTAGTTAGCAAATGTGAGTTTTCTGCAAATCATCTGGCTCTGTTGTTGTTCTTGGATGTCTTTGATTTGCTCGCTTTACTTTTTCTGGCAAATTTTAAATTTCTCCTTGGAATTTTACTCCAAACTTCTTAAAAGTATAAAACTTTTTATTTTGCAAAATGACATTTTCGATAGCTATTATTATTCTTTTAATTTTTTTTTAAAAATGATAATGATTATGTAGCACGAATTTAAAAGAAAAAGGAAGTCCTTTTTAAACCCATGTCATGTTTTGCCTATTATTATTACATTGAGTTTCATTTTCTTTTATAGCTTTAAAAGGATATATACATCTTTTCTATTATTTATTGATGCTAAATTTTCTTTTTCTCTATTATTTCCATCTTCCTCTAGCCTCTTTTCATGATTCATGACAATGACTGGTTATTATTGGGAGAGATCAGAAGGCTCTCACTTTTAGTGGTGGCAGAAGAACCCATCACCCATCAAATCCCTTCAGAATTCTTCAAGCCCATTGGGGATTTTAACCAAACTCGAAATGAATTAGATCTGTTTGCTTCGCTTCTTTAACTAACCTGAGTCATGTTTGAGCTTAATAGCGAAAAATTTGTCTAAAGCTAACAATATTGTACACATATAAACTAATACATATGATAAATTTAATTCAAAATAATTTATATATATATATATATATATGAGAAAAATCTTAATGATTGGAAAATAAATAATTATGAGACTCTTTTAAATATTTTTTACTGTCACAATCAATGGGAGCAACAATCGACCAATTTAGAGAGTCAATGCTAGAAGGTCTTTTTAGCTCGTGTTTTTCTATAATTATTTCCTTAAAAATGATATCATAATGTTACAACTCTCTCTTAAAAGAGGTATGATTAGAGCACATATTTAATTTAATAACATAATTTTATTAATATAAAAGAATATGTAAGTATTTATATCTTTTGAATATGTACAATATTTGTATATAATACAAGACTTTAAAATTTTTCTTTTTGTCACAATACAAAATAACAAAATAGTAATCCTAATTCTAATGCCTAACTTCAAAATTCGTTTTCGTATTATTCATTATTCTACAGTGGTATCGACAATATTTAAAAACGGTGATAAGAGTAAGATTTACAATATTACTATGCAGAAATTATGTAATATAGGTATTATAGTATTTCACACACATTAAAAATCACATATATCATATAATATTATGAAATCGGAAATGCTATATTGTATAATAAGCCACAAATTCATCATAATTATGAAGGGGACACATAATCATCTAACTACATTATCTTAGGCACACACATAATGATGTGAACTTGGGTATCTAAGGAAAACTAATATTGAAGACACAAGAGTCCTACAATTAGTAGGATTCCCAATGACAACTGGGATCCCGTAGAGATGTAGCTTGCTAGCATTCTCCCACACGAAAAGGTATAGAACATGCATGCATGCAGCACGCGAGCCGCGCACATGTGCGCCAAAACATAGACATAACCATGCGCAGACACAAGCACACCAGGAGAGCCCATGCGTCCATGAAATGGAGGATTTTTCCACGGAAATGACTCCTCCCGCAAGGACTCCCATATGTCAATTCTTGAAAAGGCCAAGATTCTCGGCCCAAAACGAGGTCCAACAATGGTCCAACACCAAAGCCCATCCAAGAAAGTTCAGAAAATCTGCTCCAAAGATTTTGGAAGGAAGATTCAATGGCCCTTAATCCTAAACCCAAGAAATAGACCTAAGACTTCCCAAAAAGGCCTAAGTCAATTGCCCAATGGTTAGCTAGAGAAAAGACGATTTTTGGAGTCCCACGAAAAGACAAAGATGGGTCTAAGAACCAAAGGGGACTCGTAGACAAAACATGCTGAACATGTGAGCAATATATCTCACATGTGAGGGTAAGGGCATGTGGGAAAAGGAGAACCTGCACATGCGGGATCCTCCTGCCCATGAGAAGAATCCTCACATGCCTCTCTTCTTCTCAAACCCGATTACAAGATTCTTTTTCAACTAAAAAGTGCGAGAAGAAGAAGAAGAAGAATCCTAAAGCGATAAGAGTTCATAGGAAAGCAAACCTGCAGGGAAAAGACTCCCCGCTTGCGCAGGAAGTCCAAACCAAGAGGGACTTAACTTCCCTTTTTTTTCTCACATGTTTTTCTTGTTTTATTTATGTTTATTTCATGTGGAATTCATTAAGAATAGTCCTACATGGATTGAAAGAACAAATTCAAGTTAAAGACAAATTATCAAAAAAAGAAAGGGATAAAGATTACATGGGGAAATCGACCAAGAATCCAAGACTCTTAGCCGATTTGGATTCAAAGTTTTGGCTAAGAGATGAGAAGCACTATCCTAATCATATTTGTTTCTTTTAATCATTATTTTAATTTAATTTTAAATTAAGTTAATGTAAGAGTTTAATTAGGATTTTCATTTTCGAGTTCAAGTAGAATTAAACTCGTGAAAGCCTATATAAAGGCTCTCACCCTTAGCTTGTATTCATTCAAAAATTTTAATATCGATAAAAATTCATATTATTTCTTTTTAGCCTTTATTAATTCTGAGTTAATGTTCAATCAAGTGAGGTTACTTCAACTATCTTGTTCAACCAACAAATCGAATCGACTTATCGAATAAGTTATAATGTCCTTTCTATTCTCTTTTATTCCCAATTACCTTAGTTCATAATTGCATGTGAGTTATTGGGCTAAATAGGGAGTATTTTTTACGAATTTAAGATTTTTGCATGCTAATATTATATTTGAGGTTTTGATTGTATTGTTGATTCTGGATTCAGCATCACATATTTGATTCCCAAACACCCAAAACACAAAAACAACATGTATGAGCACAACTGACTCTCCCAAAACATGAAAATGGTAGGACCCAATACGGATTCCTAGCATAATGTAGGTGAGAACGGAATGTTAATATGACCAGACGTCCTCCATAATGAATGATGAACACAAATCAAAATTCATTTTTGAAAACACATTGTCATAATAACATTTAACTGAAGCTCAATTTCTCAAGACATAAGAATAAAAAATTCATATTTATATACATATATATATATATATGTTAACTAAAATACTTCAAAAATATACATGTGCTAGTGGTGTCATAAAATCCACTTACTATAGGTCTTAAGCAAACTTATTCAAACCTTCTCTTTTTTTTTTTCCAGCTCATCTATTTATTTGGACAGAGTCTCCCCTTATGATTTTTTTTTTTTTAATTTCTCCATTTAATTCGGTAGATTCTCCCCTTATAATTTCTTCAATTTCTTAATGAAATTTCAGCATTATCTCCCCTTAGAATCATCATCACTTTGAACTCAAAAAGATCAACAACCAAATAGGAAATTATTTCTAAGGAAAAGAAATCCGAAACAACATACCTCTTTGGACATTTCTTTTTTTTTTTCTCTAAAAATTCTAGCATAAATCCAGGATGAGTTTTAAGCTTTTTCTTTTGAAATTTCAGTAAAGTCCCGTGATTATTTTAGTCTTTTTCTTACCTTAAAAATCACCACCTTTATTACCCAAAATGTATCCCAAACATTAAAGGAAAATCGAACTCAAAATCAAAGGTAATTACTTACCTTGTTTTCTTATATTTGACCTTCCTTGCCTACTGGTTGGCTTCCAATTTTTTTCCTCCTCTCTTGCTTTTTCTACCTATTCCTTCTAAATTTATCTCAAAATTTCTCTAGAATTTTCCCCCAAGATTCCTTGATTTTTTCTCATAAACCTCACGATTGTTCTTATTCCTTTCTTTCCTTTACTGGCCCGGGTCTCTCCCTTTCTCTTTATGTTCCTCACTTGCCTTCTCGACTTGGTGTGCTTTCTCCTCTTCCCCAGCCCCTTATTTATAAAGGAGGGAAATTAAAATCGATAAAGGTTAGACACATGGCATGCCGACAGCTCCCTCAAAACTGCCTCATCTGCCACATCTTGCTTCCTCTTCACCTCTTCCTCTTATGGTGCCATTTAGCTGCTTATTTTAGCATGGCTTTCTGCTACCTCATGCTTCACATATTCCTCAACCTGGTAACTTTCGATTGGTTCATGTTTGGACTTAATTGGGTCACATTTCACAAGCTTGCTGCCTCTTCCACCATTTTAAGCTAGTTTTTTTTGCTTTCAATCCTTTCAAATTCTGCCATGTAGCTCTTTGTTGCACCCCCTTAATGTTATCAAGTCCCAACCAATGGCCTTTTGTTATTTATTTAGGGTTTTTCTCCACAGAAATCGAAAAAAGGCATCTCGGGAAAATTTTATTTCCCTCTCGGGTTTTTATTTTTCTCTCCAAATTTTCCTTCTACAAAAATTTGTCTCATTGCAAATTTCTCTTTTCTCACATGTTAACTTGCACTCCATTGAATTTAAGCCTCAAGTTCCATCAATTTTGGCCCCGTGAAGAAACTTTATCCTTAAAGGACATTTAGAAGCTTCTCGGGGAAACATTTTTCAAGCTATCAATTTTGTGCATTTATCTCCCAATGTTTATTCTACAAAAGTTTTCACTTTGCAATTTTCTTTTCTCATGTGTTAACTAGTGTCTCCTTGAATTTCACCCTTAATTTTCACCAATTTTCAACTCGAGAAGCATTTTTGTCCTGAAAGGTGATTTTCTCCTATTATTCAGGAAAGGTGTTATTCGTGCTTAACCTTTCTTTCCTTTACTCTTCCTAATTTCATTTCTAACATTTTTCTCACTTCTTAAAGATGTCTTTCAACTTATTAGGACAATGTTTTGGCCTTGAAAAAATTTCTTGGTTGGAAATAATTGATTTCTCTTTGAGGAAAATTCCCACTCGAGGAAAATTTTTTCTAACTCTAATTTTCT